CCAATGTAAGGAGGTGTTGTTGAAAGCCTGTTCGTAATCGTCTGCGCTCGACTCTACCAGCTGTAACTCCAGGGTAAGGCAGCAGATTATTCTGGCCGCCCACTGAACTCCCGCAAGCTGCGCAACAGCAGTCTGCGTTGATATCTCCGTTGGTGCACCATTATCCCAGCTCGCCACTCGTAAAGCTATCTCCTCTCGTAGCTTCTCGGCCAAACCCTTGCCCCCAATCGCATTGAATTGTTCGTGTCGCTCGCGCCCACTGAGCTCCAACAAACTCAACTGCTGCGTGTTCAGACTACGCATGAGATCGTCCAAGACACCATCGATATCTGTGAATATCTCGTCAAACTCCGTGTAAGGAATGGAGTACTGCGGGGGGATAGCAAGCTTGTACGGCTGCGTGTAGAGGCCGAGCTCTGGGCAATCTGGGTCGGTCGTCTCGGGATACACGACGATGCCGAATGGCTTCTGTGCATGCGCGACAATAGTGGCAGCGATGCCTTTGATCTTCTTGGGAAATGGGGTGTCGAGGTGTCCATGTCGTGACGCATACCGGAGACGACTCTGCACGAGACGCCTAGCCTTCCCACTGCAACACCGCTCAGTAATGAGCATGACCAATTTACTGGTGACGTCATACCCCTCTGTGTTTTTATACCTCCCTTGCTGATGTCGTTTAGCTTCGCGCTTTTCTGCGAGGGTAACGTATTTCGCGCGTCTTCCCATTTACGAGACGAGTCAGAGAAGACGTGTATGATTTCGGAAGAGGGTGGTAGCAAAGATCAGAGTGGGGGTTCCATAGCTTCCGAGGTAGTACATACAAAATGAGGAGATACAAGATACGCGACGGGTATACAGGAGTGGAGCTAACTGAACCGAGACTCCACAGACGAAGCGATCATCCTACTCTAAAGAATGATGGCGACGTTTCCGTTGTTCGCCGCTCGCATGAACGCCGCGAGCGCAGCACCGTACGTCGGGTGGCGCTGGAAAACTGCGTTCGGAACTCCCGTTACCAGGGGAGCGACGGTCATCCTGCAAATCTTTGTTAGTGCATTATGAGTTACAAACGCTGACAAGCCCTACCAGTCGCGGAACACCCCCACGGCTTGGCCACGGGTAATGCTATACCACCGGATGCCCCCGGCAGCTTCTCCAGGATCTATGTCCTCGACGGCGCGATGGTAGACGGCGCCACCGCAGTTGCCGCCGCAGGTGTCGCAGGTTCCACCCCCACGCTCTTCGTTGCCGACGGCGGTGTGTACCATGCTGCGAGCGGCACCTCGATGGCCTGTCGCGCCCGTTGTGATCCGCACGGCAGGTGAAGAGGGAGGAGCCGGGGGAGCCGGGTCAGGAGCTGTGCCGCCACTGCCGCCACCCGCTCGGGTAACGTTACCTGCGGACGTCGAGGGCTGAGGAGCTGAGGTCGCTATGAATGATGAGTAACAAGACAACTAGTGCCAGCGAAGAGACTTACTTGGGGGGCTACTGGCTTCAACATCTCGCCATATTTGACGCTCGGCTGCTGCAACTGTCTTGAGCACGTCTGAACAGGATACAGAACGGCGGGAACAAACTTACATTCCTGCTCCGTGACGAGGCGAAGGGCCTCCATCACCTGCTGTAATTGCTGCAAGGTGAACCGCTGCTCACCGTCCGAGGCGGACTTGGCGACCTTCTTCCCGTCATTTGCCATGGTAATGCTGACGCGGGACGACTAGGAGGTGGTGCTGCGACGGGTCTGGCTGCAAGCGGCCTCTTGAGATCGGCTCATATTTATAATTTGCGACCGGCCAAACGCTCGCACGGCAGCTGGAGTCAGAAGGTCATCAGTCACGGCATGCTGATCGTGCCATTGACCATACCTGGGATGACTCTCGGCTATCGGATGTCCACGCCCATGTGCCGTAGGTTCTGCGGCCCAGATCCAGCGCGATTGTGGTGCGCATAGTGGACGCGGCCTATGGAAGGGCGCGACAAGTTATTGCTTCCGTACAGACGCGACGCAGTGGTTCGCGAAGCTGATACATTGCATGCAACAAGCGTCAGTTCGTTACGCGACGAGTAGAGCACGGACTTACCTATTTTGTTGTCCCTGAGTTCAAGACGCGAGCTAACAGTGTCGCAACTGCAGCGTATATATCGACCTAGACATACATGAGAACCACGGCTTCGAACTAAGTTACAACACTGTGACTCACCATCATGCCCGCACGTCGTTGGACAACCGACGCTGAGCTCGAGTTCTTGCTGTCTTATCGAGAATCGTTCCGGTCGCATCAGCTCTCACACTCACTCCAACGTTTCTGGCCCGATGTCTACAACGCGTGGTTCACTGCGTTCCCGGAGAAGTCCAGGATCCTTCCAGACGTCGAGGGCGAGCTATCAGAAGAACAGCAAGCACTGCTACAGAAGTCTATCAAGACTCGTCAGAGGGTGCGTGCATCTCTCGCGTGATGACAGATATCTCACTGACGTACATGCAAAGAAAATCTACAATTGGTACAATAACCTAAATTCGCAGCAAAACCGCAAGGCGAAAGCCACGCGGGTGAACTTGGATGTTCTCAGGCCGAAGAATTCACGCACCTTGAAGGACACCGAGTTGTACTCCCGTAAGTACTACAAGGATCGGATACAACCGCTGGTGGAGACCGAGTTGGGTGAGCGCGAGGTTTCGAAGGTTGAAAGAATCGAGGTCATCAAGCGGCGGACAAGGGAGGCGTACGATGCCGAGGATGCGGAGGTTAAGGCGGAGATACAGGAGGAAATACGCGCTCTTCGTGCCTCGAGAGCGGAGCGCGGCACCTCTGAGGGCGAAGGAACCGAGGAAGTCACGGATGAGCATGTTATCAACGCCATTGCTAGTCAAGCGTACGTATCTCAAGCTTGTGAATGTATGTGCTAGACTCACCTCAACGTGTCAGACTGCTTGATGATCTACCTGCCATTCTCCGTCAGATCTTTCTTGAGCTGCATCGTAAGACTGGTTGGTATTTCTTGGTTCTGGCTGCTGGAGAAATACCTGGGTCGGACGGTCAATACGAGACCATTTCGTAAGTACTCATACTCGTGCTCAAGATCAATTAAACTCACCAAATGATTAAGATTCCATCAGGAAGGGTCCGACGACCTCGAGCACAACATTGGGAGACTCAGCAACTTCGTCGACCAGTTTGTCAGGCCCTTCCTCGAGTATACGCGAGACGAAATCAGTGAGTGGTATAGCAGAATAAGAAGGGAGGCAATGAGACTTACCCGTGTACATAGACGATGCAAAAGCATCGAGGCAGAGCACGAGCTCGCCTGCTCGGAGTCCTTCCGTGGCCACAACAGTGTCGCCGGTTACAGAATCGAACACAGTCTCTCAGGCGTCCACCCGCACTGAGGTAGAAGCTGTCGGCGCGGACCAATTGTCGTCCAACGGTCCCACCAACACCGACGCTTCAACCCATGACAAAGGCAAAGGGGTCGCTCGTCCCAGCGGGACCTCATCGAATGCCGCCGTGTCTTCCACAACGACCGCCGCGTCTTCCACAACAGCCGCCGCATCCTCCCCAACGGCGGCCACGCCTCCTTCGACTGCCGCAGCACCTCCTTCGACTGTCGCCGTGCACCCTTCAAGGACCAACCCGTCTCCATCGACTGCTGGCCCGTCTTCGAGTGTAGCCTCATCATCTCATGCAACTACTACCTTGTCGCCTCATCTGTCAGTTGCCTCGTCTACCATTTCCCCGCCGACTGTGGGCACACCGTCTGTCACGCCACCCGCGATCACCCCGCAGACGATCGTGCACCCCACTGTCACAGCTGCGCCTGCGCCTGCTGCTTTGCCGGTTGGTTCGTTACACCCGTCCCCTGCGACCGCGGAGCAGCTGGGCGGGGATGGTTCAGTGGCCGGGCCTTCACAGGTGTCCCACGCGTCTAGTGCAGTCTCACCAGTGCCTAGTTCTAATATGTTAGAGGTACCTTATGAAGCATTGGACGATACTGACTATTCAGCCATTTCGGAGTTCCTCGCTAGCGCAGACGCATCGAACGCTCATCCGGACCCCGGGCCTGGCGCACCGCAGTTCTCTGGAGCTGTACCAACAGCTCTGTGGCCCGCTGGCGCGCAACCGAGTGGTCACGCATACAGCGGGGATATGGACTCCGCAAGGGCGAACCCCACTGCACTTGACGGCCTACCCGCGTTCTCGGCATTCCAGTTCAACCCGACCTCGACGCCCATGTCGTTCTTGCCCAACACCTCGCCTTCTATGTCCAACTTCTCGTCTCCAATGGACGGCCTGTCCTCCACGCAGACACCAGGCCTATCCTGTCCGAACTTCACATTCCCGTCGGCAGCGCCATCGTTTGTCACCTGGAACCCATCCCCGCCATCGGTTGAGCCTCTCCCACACGCACCGGTGCAAGCACCTAGCACGTCGACCGTTAATACGATCTCCAGCCACACAGTGCCAACAAACTCACCTCCATTGACTGCCAATCAAACTACACAGGTGTTAGGCTCCGAGCTCCGCCCGTCTTCGAGTTCTTCAGGCCGTCCGGCAATGACACCTGCGATGATAACAGGATCTTCGTCAGATGCTAGAATGCAGGAGCAACCCAACATGCCGAGTAACGGCAAGCAACAGGAGAGACGCGCCTCGGCCACTGAGGCTTCGAGCTCGATGGCGAAGGCTACGCAATCAGCCAATTCTCAGGTCTCGTTGAGTACCGGTGACGTTTCTCCGTCGCAGACTCGAGATCCCCGACCTGAAGCTGGATCGGGACCCCTTGGACCGTCCACATCCCAATCTACATCATCTTCGCCGCGGCTATCTCCCGCCGAGCCCACTCAACGCGATCCCGCCGAGCCCGCTCAAAGCAATCCGCGCATTCCAAGTGCGCCGCAAGGCCAGACTCAGACCACTGCAGGCAACACGATCACGTCAGAAGGTGGAGGGCTCCCTTCAGGAACGCCGACCGATGACCCGGCGAACAGTGGTGATCATGGTCGACCCAAGCGAGCCCGTCGCCGACCTCCGCGGCCGGACGAGTCCCCTACTCTGCAAGGGAAGGCCAGCGCATCGAACGCAGACACGGTGGCGACGGCGGGTAAGAAGAGGCCGGCAGGTGTGAGGAACTCGAGCGGAGCGAAAAAAAAGCGTACTAAGTAGAGAGTTTGATACGTGCTCGAAGTGTTTGTGGATAGATCGCGCCTTGCGTGGCCTACTGTACAGCGGTATAATGTATCACGGAACTGTTTGCAGCGAAACCTATTGCAATACTGAATTTTCGTTGCAAAACGAGCTACACGGCAAGTACGCACCATACGATTCTCTCCGGGCGTTGCTGCCAGTGTTGCACCGTCTATTATACTTGCAATCCGCGCGCAGCCTGCTCACCAGTCACGACTCCTGACCCAATCTAACATCCACGGCCACCTTCTACACAACGTGACCCAAGACCCGTCTTCGCCGACTTGCTGTGAAACTTGACGGAAAGTTGTGCCAGTGGGCGCGACATGTGTGTGGCTACGTCGTTTTGTATCGAACCTAAGGGTGCCAGGAGGAAGAGAGGGAAGAGTGGACGGAATCCCTTGGTCTATAGCATGACGATGGCGCCAAGGAGGGGAAGGAGGAGAGGAGGAGGGTACCTACAGTCGAGCGCTGCGAGCAAGCTGTAAGTGAGGACTTAGAGGCGATGATGATACGGCCCAATATCCCACGGTCACACAGCGCGCTAAGCGCTGTACGCGTGTCCCTACCCTTAGCCTAGCAGGTTCCTCGGCCCTCGTTCAACGTTGCCTAAGTTTGCAGCCTGCCTAGAAATGGCTCGTTGAAGAGAAGCTAGGGATGAGCGGTATGAACAGCCGTTACATAGGTTCAATATATGTTTGAACCTTTGACGCGAGCAACGTAGGCGGTTACCTCCACACTGCCAGTGAGCGCCGGCTAGAAGGAAGCCGCACGTGCATGAGTTTCTAACAGCCACGATCGAGTGACGATGGGCCAGTGGGACGGCCGCCCATTATGGAAGCCCTGGTAGCGCTGGGCGTAGTGGCCCGATTAGGAAGCTGCGGGACGCGGTGCCCCGAAGCCCAACCTACCGTCGAGGACCCGGCGGAGCGTACCGCCTGCTGCTGCCGAGAAATGGGGTCTATCACATGTGTGATACTCTCATGCATGAGGTATCTACAGGGCGATGTATAAAGGATATGTAGCCAGGCGTGCACTCATACATCAAGTGCATGCATCATATATAATGGATACGTAGCCGGATATGCTCATGCATCGCCGAAGCATGCAGCGCGATGTATAATTCATACATTAAGCGCGTCGCGCGATGTATCGTTCATACATTGCGGGTCTTTCTGATGTATCAGAGCCTGCCGTGCAATGTATGATTTATGCATCAACTGCCGGCCTGTCAGTTACAGTGTTTGTGCATGAGTCCTGCACTACAACTACAGGGTATTTATGTATCAACATGACCGTTACGCCTGCCTTACGACTGCGTGTGGGCGGCCACGACAATGGGCGTGTGCAGGCACTGGCAAGATACTATCGCCGCCGCGCCCTACCTCTGGAGCTCGTTGTCACTCTCACATCGGAACACCCAGTTCGTGGAGTTGTGCATCGTGCGCTCGCAGGACGCGCCCCTCTCTATCTCCCTCCGGGTAGATGATGCCTTCGTCGGAAGAGGAGAAGGGAATGAACTGAGTTGGGTCCTAGACCTGATCACTCTGCATCGCTCGCGACTCGCAGATGTGAACATCCACCTTGATTCTCGCCGCACGCCGGAGATTCGGCCGGCTCTCGACCGTCTCGCGCACCTGCTGCAATCGTCTCTACCTCGACTCACTGCCATCAGCCTGGCGAGAACAACCGACGGTATTGTACCCGATGGATTATTGAAGTTGGACCCACTATGCCATCCGGCGATGCGCAGGGTCGAGCTTGCTGGTATCGAATTTGGCAGGCATGGTCTGCAAATCTCTCAATTGACGACGCTGGTTCTTCGCAACATTGACAAGGGGTACTTGGTCCTGGGCGTCGTCACGAGTGTAGCATCGTTGCTAGACATCCTCGAGGCATGCGTGCAACTGCGTTACTTCACATACGAGAAATGGCAAAACATCCAGAGGAAACCGGTTGACCCAAGCCGCATTGTGTCGCTACCGGAAATGCGGCGTTTCCATGTGCTGGGCTACCTGGCAGACATTGGCCGGATCATGCCACACATTTCGCTGCCCCGTCAAGCCGCACTGCTGTTAGACGTTAGTCGCTACAACTTGGCGAATCCATCACCCCTCGGCGCCATACTACCACGTCGTTCTACGCACTCAGCGGCCCTTGACGAAGTGGACGTCGTGAAGGTTCATCACCATAATCATGAGCTTCACGTCGTCGCATTCTCAAGATGCACATACGATGGGGAGGTAGCTCTCCGTTTGGCATACCCGTACACTACAAGCTACGGGGATGATATCATCCTCCTGTATAACATTCTGCGTGGTTTCGGACACCTATTCCCGTCTTCCTTGCAGGTCCTAATCTTCGACACCGACGTAGAGCGCATCACCCTGGAGGATTGGTCATTGGTACTGCGAACCTTCCCGGGACTTACAGGGTTGAACGTCCATGATATATCACGGACGCCCAAACAGTTCCTCTTTGCAATCGCTTCTGCCTTGGAGCCCACACCCACTGGTGTCCCCTGCTGCCACCTACAGAAGTTGCGCCTGACATATGCGCCGCAGAAGGTGAAGAGGAGCCTGAAGATGCTGAGGGCTCTTCAAATCGCCCTGCAAAAGCGTGCTGAAGCTGGGTACCGTTTGCCGAACCTCCGCCTCGAGTTCAAGCAGCAAGCCGACGACGGTCATACTGTGAACGACGCCCTACAGTCGTCAGCGAAGTTTCTAAGGCTGCAGCGGGGCTTCGAGACGTCCACAGGCTCAGTGACTATCATCTGGGGAGACTGAGGTATGTGCAGACCGGACTTATCCCACTGGCGGAATACTGACACGTAACGACTTTCGTAGACGGACGCGACGGATGATCGATGATAGCCTGAGTGATGCAAGCATGTCCGCAATATGATATCGTCATTGGCTGGGCTATTGTACATAGACTTGCAGCTAGAAAAATCGCATCTTCGATAGCCTATGCAGCGACGTCAATATGAGCAGGTCTCAGCGAGCGAGATAGCATACCTGACCCGCGCACACACGGCTAGCAAGAGTACCAGCGGTGCTACGCCGAACAATATCACGCGCAGAGCGAGCACGGTATTTCGCGTGGTAAAATGTGACCAGATACCGGCTAGGAACGCCGTGAATAGCAGCAAGGGGAAGAGGAGGTACCCGGAGAGCCTGCGCGTTGCGACGTCAGCGGGTACGAAGAGACCATTCAGACGAGACGGTACCGGTGGTATTTCCAAACAAGCTTCGCGCTGGAGTTCCCGCCAAAGAGACGTCCGTCGAACCAAACACTCCCAATACCGATGAAGACTTGTACAACCATCCAGAATACACTGATGTAGCCAAGGATCTGTGCGCGCCGTCAATAACTCACTCTTGCGGTACGCAAAGGAGACACTGACGCCGTGCCATGTTGTTGCGTGGTGCGAGCCATGCGAGGTCTTGTTCCACCAGATGGCCAGCGTGCCGAGTAGCAAGGCGGGGTAGCCGCCACAAAGCATGGCGTACTGATGGCGCGCGAGGCCTGCTGCCTTCGTCTTTGGCTGTGAAGTCGGCTGAAGTGTTACGATGCCTGTGCTCAATCTGATCAGCGACTGTTCACGGCCACGACTAATCAGAAGCGGCATTGAGTTTCATCGCAGATGTCGCGGGGCATAGCAGAGTGAACATAATATATTTTTCAGAGACCAACAAACACATATTAGGGAAAGAGGCTCTCAGCGCAGATCACCATCGCCAGTGCTTGAGAGTTCTCGACGAGTGTGCTCCTACCAGCGATAGCGACGGAATGCATGAGTCGTAGCCGCCAGAGCGGGGCCCGGCCGAAACACATGGGGGTAACTCTCAAGATTATGGAGCGCAGATTCCGGTCGCGTATGCCCGACGCAGCCAAACGCTAGATCGGCGATGGGACCCACCATATGCTAGCAAACAGATCGAGAGACTTTGCAGTATGGGATGCCAGAAGAACCACCCGAGCTTCACAGGGTTGCCCACGAAAGAGATCACCCATGTTCCCATGAGGAAGACCTATAATTGCATGGGTAAATCAGCATTCAAATACAAGAGTGTAGTCTCTCACCCCTGCAGCGACCTTCCACGGATCGAAGTGTGAGCGAGGCTTCTCCTGGGCCTATGTTTAGCACTCACGTAGGCCGCGATCTGCGCGACATGGTCTCTCGAGCGACCCTCCGTTCGAACGATGTCGGGATCAAGCACGACGTCCATAGTGTCCTCCACAACATCTTCGACGATGAGAGGTGCATCTTCTTCGTCTCCTGGTCCATGCTCGTCGTGCGTGAAGTGTTCCGTTTTCGGCGTCGGCATGAGGGCAATTGCACCGCTCATACTTGCGAGGCTGATTCGACTATGGCAGACTCACGGGAGAGATACACGTTGTATGGCGGCTAACACGTCCATCGCAGCGCTGGGTTGCGCCTCCTGCGTTTGTCTTCTCGCAAGGCCGCAGCAAGTGAGCGTTCCGCCATTGCGGTATCCGGCAATGTCCGGGCCCTACTCACTGGTCCAGATCGGATCTAGATTGGTACTGCTACCAGCCCGACCCCGTGCCACCGACCGTGACCATAGCCTGATGGCCTCAGCCAAGTCGACCTCGGGCGGATTGCCCTCGCCGCCAACGCTTTCGACGAGCAATCTACCACCACCATGAGACCCTCAGCTCGCCGCCTTATGGCCTTGACCCTATCCGCGACGCGTCCGCACTCGGTCAGTTTCATCGGACTGGGACGCATGGGCTCCCCGATGGCCTATAACCTGTTTTCGAAATCCGTGGCGGAGAGCGAAGGAACCGCACGCTTTGTCGTCTGCGATGCACGCACCGCTGTCGCTGAAGCGTTCGCCGCGGACTTTGTGAAGCAGTTCCCCGGCACGCAGGTCGACATCGCAAACTCGCCCGAAGAGTAAGTACGCATCTCCATGTCATGTCTGAAGCGCACCGAGCTGGACAGACATCAATCGACAGAGCCGTGCTGGCCTCGCAGACCGTCGTCACTATGCTCCCATCCACCCCGCACGTTAGGAACGTCTACGCCGAATCCGGCGGCATCCTCCCCGCACTGCTGAGGCTGCCCAGAGAGGCCGTGCAGTCGACACTCTGCATCGACTCGACAACGCTCGACGTCGAGACCGCCCGCACGCTCGTGGCGAGAGCAGACAAGATCGGGGTCAGAATGGTCGACGCGCCCGTGTCCGGCGGCGTCGCTGGTGCCAAAGCGGGCACGCTCAGCTTCCTCGTCGGCGGAACGAACACCGCGTTCGAGCTCGCGCGCCCGACGCTCGAGCGCATGGGCAAGCACATCATCTACTGCGGCGGCTCCGGCGCGGGGCTCGCTGCCAAGATCTGCAACAATCTCGTCCTCGGCGTGCAGCAGATTGTCGTCTCGGAGGCGATGCTGCTTGGCCAGAAGCTGGGCCTTCAGCCGAAGGTGCTCGCGTCCGTGATCAATACCTCGACGGGCGCGTGCTGGGCCAGCTCTGTGAACAACCCCGTCCCGGGCGCTGTCCCCGACAAGTCTCCGCCCTGCGAGCGGGACTATGAAGGCGGGTTCGCGACGCGGTTGATGCTGAAGGTAAGACTGGATCTCGCGGTGACGTTCAGGCTGTAGTTGCATCGGTTGAATGCCCTTATGCAGGACATGGGCCTAGCGCTCAACATCGCGGAGTCGACGAAGACCGCAATGCCTTTGGGTGCTGCTGCGGGCGAGATTTATGCAGAGGTCATCGCGGACGACCCAGACGCCGCTGAGAAGGACTTCTCCGCTGTGTACAGATATCTACGATTGCCGAAGAACAAGGAAGATTAAGCGGCACGGTGTACTGACTATCACTCAATGTAATTTTGCCAGATATACATCCGTGCTACATCATGCGCGGGGCTGCGTGTTCACTTTCTTGTCGCCGAAGTCTACTAGTACCAGACGAGTGCATTGCTTGTCGTGAGCGATGTCGAACATCTGAAAGGAAATCACCGTTGCGAGAGGAACCGGCACTGAAGCGACCCGTTGCAAACAGAGAAACATGGGTATCCGCTCACGCACCAAAGCATGTACACACATAGGATACGTACTCCTTGATCGATCCGGTTCAAAGACTCGATGCGTGGTGTCATACACAAGCTGCTAACACATAGTTGGCGCCTGGTGTGGTTTGGATGGTCGAGGTCCAATACAAAACGCTGATCTCATCCGTCGACGCACCACCCCGATCGTGTTTGTGTGGGTGAAGCTTGCTGCTTCAACCGCGCTGTCAGGTGACGCGTGTAGTACGATACACGTAGTTACTGTGGCTAAAAGGAATTCCCTCCTCCCAGCCGTTCTGGCGAAGTTTGAACGTGAGGAATGTCGTGACTAATTGATTTGCCAGATAAGGATAGTGGGTACGAGCCGAAGAGCCTGCCTCTCTTCGAAGTCGGGAAGGGTGAAGATACTATACATAGTATGATACTAGGAGCACAATCCACACGGATGGTCTCATTTCGCAGTGACGGTACGGCTTGGATATAACACAACCCATATTCGAAGCTCACTCGGACGCATATGCGGGCTTTTCCCAAATTTTGAACGCCATCGCCCGAAAGAAACGTCGACATCTTTCCCCATTTCCTAGCCCAGCTCCCGGTACTTGCTAATCTTTGGTCGGATCTGGGAATACTAATCGGAGTCAGTGCTTCAGTTTTCCAAGCCAGTGAGTGACGTAGGGATCTAACCGTCATTCGAGTCGGTGACCGGGTGACCGCATTATGTATACCTCCACATGCTTGCGACTGGTTCATTTCCTGCGTCCTCAGAAGCTTGCGAAAAATTTGGTGGATATCATCAGCTCTCCTGTTGAACCGGTGAACAGTAGCTCCCGCTTCGATTAGATCTTTGAGATAATCTGTCTTGTAGTCGTGCCACCGTCTTTGGGGCCCCACGACGTTTTGTTCACTTTCCGTTGGTGCTGATGGATCACGATGTTCTTCGTCGTCTTCCGGCCAATTGGTAACGAGGAATAACAACCTTCGTAGTCTGCCCCTCCTTCTGAGGTCCTCGAGGAAGACGTAATTGCGATCCCGCCGGATATTATCCCGTGGTCGACTGATGTCAAGAACGAAGATGATCGCTGCATATGGGCTAATTGGCAACGTCAGGACTGCTTCTTTCCGCCGGTAGAGGTGCATGAAGACTCACCGCGACCGAGTTTCATTTCGTCTGTGTGTTAGCGAAGCAAGTGCATCTTCTATTTGGGGCAATCCATCGATGTCGGGGATGTCATACAAGGTGACACTGTGGGATTGAGCGTCGGGATCATGACAACTCACGCTCTGAATCTGCTGGGTGCACTGTTCCAAGCTCGCTTCCGTTTCGAGGTCTGCGCCGGATATGATGTTGATAAACTGGACGCCATAAATTCAGTATTGGGATCAGTGACAGCGGGCTAGTAGTACACTACGGACCGTTGTCTTTCCGCTACCCGTCCTTCCCATCACCCTGTAGCCAAAAAGAAGTATCAATAGTGTTCGGTTCGTAATACTGAATACTGAACATACATAATATCACGTTCAACCGAGAGCTCAATCGTACCGTTAAGAGCTGAGCCTTCTGCATTGCCATCATGATGCGAAGGCACGAGAGGCACCGACAGCCTGAGCGGAGATGATGAGTGCACGGGAGAAGGCGACAATGTGACAGAATGCGCGTGCAGCCCAGTGTGTGAGACACGCGAGGGCAGTCTGGCTAGCGTGGGCACTAGAGAAGGCGAGCGTTGACGACTAGGCGGAGGCGGAGGCGTGTGTGTACTATGGAGGGCCGAATCTGGTGCGGGAGGAGGCAAACGGCGCGGGGGTGTTGGCGGGCGCGATGGTGTAGTCGAGCCTGCAGGCAGAGGTGCACTGACAGGTGTCGTGGACGTGAGTGAGCGCGGAGGAGTAGGCGAGTGCGGAGGAGTAGATGAACGCGGAGGAGTAGATGGGCACGGAGAAGTAGATGAGCACGGAGGAGTGAGTAAGACCGGAGGGGCAGGTGAGTGCGGAGGGATAGTTATATTCACAGAGGTAGGTGATCGCGGGGGAGTCGGTGAGCGGACTGAAGGAGGTGAACTGGGTGGAAGGAAATCGGGCGAGCTAGTCGGTGGACCATCCGGCTGCCAGTGAGGCTAGTGAGGTTGTTGAGCAGCAACACAGAATACACAACGCGACCAGACTCACGACTTCTCGAAGTGGACTCTCCGATGACTGCGCATTGATGTTCATCATGTGTTTCAAAATATTCTGAAGATGAGAGCTGTGACGCTGACTCAGGTCCCGTTGAAGCTTGTCTCTCTCGGCTTCAGTCTTCTGTAGCTTCTGACGGAGCGTCTGGAGGTCGTCCCGCAAACGTTCTACGTCCTCCTGGCGATGCCTCCCGGTGGCCTCGTCTCCCTCCTCTGGGCCTCTCCGTGATGACCCATCCACCCGGGCACTGGTCTCCGGCGACTGCTCTGGCTCTGCGAGCTCTTTCTTCAATTTGTTTACTCCACACTGCTGTTGCGTACACTTCTGCTGCAATTGTTGGTCGAATTCGTAACCTGCGTCCGTCTGCGGGATCGTCTTGCCCTCGTGCAACTCGTCCTGAATACGCAGCGCCTTGCTAGGGAGTCGCAACAAAGCCGACAAAATTCTGACCGCAGATTCGGGTGTGTTGTGATGCCGCGCGATGCAGGCGCCGCCATCGCAGGCTGGTTTGAAGTAGTTTTCCTGAAGCTCTCGTAACCTGTCCTCGCCCGTTTGTGGAGCGACGGTATCCCACATAGTAGTCACGATAGTGACATTCTTCATAGCGTCGTCGCCGCAGAGCTTGTGGAATAAGCGGAAGGTCTGCAGGCTGATGCCGGCCTGCATTCGGTTTTCAAATATACGGTGAAAAAAGATGACGCCAGTGAGTTTCTTGCCGCCGGAATATCTGCAATGGTACATACCAGTCAAGACATGATCATAAAGGCACGATATGAACGACCCACGTTTTCCGCAAAAAAGTAGCAATTAACTTTAGTATCTCTGCCTGGGGCAGCTCGGTGTGGTCGAAGCCTGGGGTGTCAATCAACGTGATGTTCGCGTGTCCGAGCCGTATCGATGCAGTCTGTATGTTGCTTGTGCATGATTGAGGCCCGTATCCTACTTCCAGCCCGGCGTTCGCAACACAGTTGATGAACTATTTTCGGATTTCAGCACATCATAGTATTCATCTGGGCTGCGAGTCTTACTGTGGTCTTTCCGCTTCCCGTACAACCCATGAGCCTAGGAGGTGCGTACCGTCAGCGATGCATACGCTGTGATCGTGGCGTAACATACGCTATAAGCTTTGGTTCGTGTTCAGCCATGTCAGAGTGGCTCGCAGCCCAGTTACAGAGGATCGTAGGGCTGCCAGAGCTCGTCCGTGGGATGTTATACTAATGGCTAGGATACCCTTCAGGCTTCAGCTGCAACGTGCCGGTGGCGCAAACAACGTACTGAAGTCGATCTCATCACATGTTCACATGCAGCCTAGACACGCCTTCAGTCCAACTTCAGTTGCGTATAAGTGGGATGCGTGTAACTGCGAAGTGCACTCATGAGTTATGCAGAACGAAGGCGGTATGTTCGCTGCTTCCGGTCTTCTACTGCACGCAGGCCGCGTGCAATTGGTTCTCGCCATTCGATTGCATGCATACGCGCGTCTCCCAAATTGTTCGCGAAGACAAGGAATGGGGCCTGCTGAATGACGCTAACATGAAGCTTGCCGCGTGTGATGCGCATGAGTGGGATCCCGATCTTGAACTGCGAGCCGCATACACGATTTATGAACTAGAGGATACTACATCAGCTCTGTATGGCAATCGAAACCGATTATGCCGCGGTCGATATTGCTCACGCTTGACTTGCCCGCGCCTGTGGGGCCAGTGACCCTAATCGAAAAACGCGCTAAGGACACTTTCGAGATCAATGGGCGCGATGGAACTCACGCAAATAGCTTCAGGCTTTCGAGCGCCATTGTGTGCCCGCGGAGGGTGTCGATACGTGATGAAGGTGCGCCCTGGTCCGCATGCTGTGTGTTCACCTTGACCGCACTGGACGCTATGACGGCGACTTCGTGTCTTGCCCTGTGCCACGTATTTCCAGCCGCGCCGGAAGGTGCACGGTGTCTCATTACACGTGTAGCGTGTAGTAAATCGCTGTGTTCGATGATCCGCGACATACCGTGCAGATGTCACAATGTGCCGGCGCTTCGTTGCGGCGCGATAAGTATGTTGATTATAGCTGCCAGAGTGATGAGATGTAATTATGACACCCCTGTGGCATAGCACGAGATTTGTTTAGCGGTCTAACTCTAACATACATAGGTCGGCCCTACCCTCAGGCCACAATGCATGACTCTGCTGAACCGTACCGGAGTTTGCTCATGACCCTACGAGTCTCGGAGAACATGAAGGCTCAAGTTTCAGTTCCTTCGGGCGATGTTAGACGGAAAGGTATGCGTACTCGTAATCCCTAGAAGGGCTTTAACGATAGTTGTCGCTTGTTCGCCGTCTGCATTCTCGTCAGATGTGCGTATGATTGCTCCTGTTCTGAGGTATCTCTCGAGCGAACATTGTTTGAACTCGCTGCATCGTTCCGATGCCTTGTATTGTTGCGACTGATCCTCGCCCGCGGCAGGGCAAAATGTAACAAGAAAGAAGACGTTATGCAGCTTTCCTCGCTTCTTGAGTTGGTCGAGAAGGCGAAAATTGACATCCGAATCGAGACGCATGCGTGAACGGCTTGTATCGATGACGAATATGACGGCCGCCCACTGTGGTCTACTCACTTCTAAGTCAATCTGATCCACTCAACATGGATGGGGGAAGATTACTCACGGCTGCTCGTCTTCATTCGTCGGAATGACTTAAGTCACCACATCTTCTGTCTCTACGACATGACTCTAGATGCTCGCTACACGTGTACAGCCGCAACACGATCTGCCGCCATTCAATGAATATAGTACACAGGCTGTGGCAGAAAACTGACCGTTGATGACGCGCACACGCTGCATGATCTCGACGGAGATGGACGATGTGTGTGTCCAATAATTAGCGAGCAGAATAGGATAGCGGGCATATCTTCATAGCGAACATGACTGGCTGAGAGTGCCGTGCGATATCCCAAGACCATGAGGACAAGGCCCACGGCACTTCCAAACGGGTCCGGAGATTGCTGAAGCTTGAAATTTAGCCTCGTGGATTCTGCGCGTTTGCTGCGCCTATGAACCCGTATGCACATATTGAATGCCTATGACATGAGGCACGCCGTGCGGGCACCGCACGGAAAGATTTCCTCCTCTATCAGTACACAAGACGACCACAATGAGACGCATCACCCACGCTGATGCAGCGTCGAAATCGACTGTGTCCTGCCAATGCAAGCCTCGCTTCACATGACTGCAAATTCCGCCGCACTCAGTGGCGCCGGCATCTGGCGCATAGTAAAGAGTTGTCATGCATACGAGATGCAATCTTCCACCTGTCGCACGTCTTCAAGCCACATCCAAATGTCTGCTACCCAGGTTCCAACGCAACAACCGAAGTTGCGATTCCTGCAATCCACACTGCAGAACTTCCGACTAGTCATCAATCATGTTGTATGGCTAGCGAAAGGCTCACCCGTATCGATAATCCTGTGAGGACATTGATGTTCGTCCCGTTGAGGCACCACACTGAACTTGTTACAGCGTCATGGGCCCGACCGGGACAGGCAAGTCCACGGTTCGTACCATTTACCCGGGAAGTGTCGATTTCTCAACGGAATCTAGTTCATCAACTCGGTGAGCGGCTCCAAGATGCGGATAGGAACAGGTCTTCAGTCAGAAACCGCCGCGGTCGAGAGAACGGAGCCTTTCCAGGTCGGCTCACAGCGCGTCGTCCTCGTTGATACGCCTGGCTTTGACGACACCATGAAATCCGACAGAGACGTACTCACTGTCATCAATGACTACCTTGCACGATTGTACGCACACCTCGTTTGTGATAGCTGTCTGCAATGAATGACGAGTTGTAACAGGCACTGGGAGCACATCAAGATACAGGGCATCATCTACCTCCATCGAATCACGGACAATAGAATGGGCGGCACGGCGCTACGAAATTTCAAGATGTTTCAAGCCATGTGTGGGCACGACGCGATGCGAAACGCGATCATCGTCCTCAACATGTGGGATCAAGTAGGGAAGGAGGTTCGCGAGGCACGCATGGCGGAGCTACGCGACAGCGACATCTTCTTCAAGCCTGCTGTGGAAGCAGGTGCACGTGTGCTGCCTCACGATAGCACACCATCGTCTGCCGTCGCCATATTGACATGTCTCCTGGAACGGAAGCCGGTATCTCTTCAGATACAGGTCGAGACGGTGGACGATCATATGGCAATCGCCCAAACAGCAGCAGGCATGGCGCTTTTGGGCCATTTGGGGACGATGGAGAACAAGCATGTTCAGGAACTGATTCGCCTGCGCAAAGAGCTGGAGAGTTCGGAGGATGAGAAGGAGAGGAAAGAACTGCAGGAGATACGGATGTCATTGGAACAGGCAGGGAGGAAAATGGCAGACGAACAAGTACGATTGCAAGGTATGAAGGGACCGGTCAGGCGACAGACCGACGAACCAGCACCGCCGCGATGGAGACTGCGTGGGATAGCACGTATGGATCGAAGGGGGACAGTGCCATGACTTATTGACGCGGCCTCCGACTCCATGCATTCGTATGATTCAGAGTCGGCAGTGATATGCAGGCCTATAGCAAGTTGTATTGTCACAGTGATCAGGTCTACACAATGGCTAAGTCCAACCGATAAAGCACGTACCAGCGCGACTGTCATGATAATCTCCAGAATCCAGATGGGCCATGCGTGTGGATCTGGAGGAGGCGGAGGAGGAGGCGGATAGCCTCGCACGCGCGTCTCGACTCCTTGACGGCGACAGCGCAGGACAGCGCTTACTTGCCGTCGCAGATGTATGTTCATTAGGGTCGTTCAGGAGGAGGGCGGGATCCATCTATGTAGTCAGAGAGTACGCTTGGAATACAATGTTTGGGCAGCTACGTCCCGCGAGCTATAGACTCGCGATGGCTGTGACACGGTGTCCTTATAGGTATGTCACAAAGTAAGTTACAGTAAGTAAGTACTGTATGCCTAGTCACGGTTGTGATTGCTGTCACACTCACACGTCGTGACTCATCCGACCAACTGGACTGTCAATATTTCAATGGTCATAGTCTACTACGACCTTGGAACTTTGGAAGTGATGTACTTGCCTTGACTGCGAAGCTCACGAGTATGTTGCCTTGAGAGCTTTGCTTATATGGGATCTTTTCAGAACACCAGATCTTGATGCTGCAAGGAAACCTATAGCTATCGAAGCATTCAAGAGCGGTGTAACCATCGTGGCCAGCCTCAGGCTGCTCCCTTGTAACTTACCGACAAGTCTTCATGCCATCGGTAGACGTTGTCCTTCAATCCGAAGCAGATTGAAGAGCTACTATGTGCCTATAGACGTGACTGGTGAGTCGTGTAGTACCATACAGAAGCTGATGCTATTACAATAGAATGCATAACGAAGACGTGCCAAACGGACGACCCTGCTACTGGCAGTGGTAATCGCACTAAGACTCTATAATACGGTACACCTTCCAGCAGAGCAATACCCGGAACTCAACGCGATAACCTGCTCGTAGGAAGCGTAACACGCCGTTACCGCCCTGAAGCTTTTCTTCGTCTCTCCTTATTCTCCGGAGCTCGTCCTTCGTCTTCTTCAATTCCTCCCGCAGTCTCACGATCTCTACCCTCTCCGCATCCCTCATCTCGTCTCTGAGCTGCTGCAACTCTCGCTGGTGTCTCTCTTCTTGTTCTCTCAGTAGCGTAGACAGATCGCGGCCTGCCGCGGTTTCTGGTACCCCCTTCTCTTCATCCACGAGCTCGTGTTGCATCTGAAGCTTGCGCGCGGACTGCGCGTCGATGAGTGATGCCACTATCGATCGGGCAGATTCCGCGTTGTTTTGGTGGCGGAGCATCCGGGCGCCATGCTCGATCGCTGGCTGGAAAAATATTGGCTTGGTCGCTAGCTCCTGCTCCCGTGCTTGCCCCACCGCCTCCGTTACTTCGTCCCACATAGTTGTGACGATGTACACGTTCTTCATCGCATCCGGGCCGCAAATCTTTCTGAACAGCCTGAAGTTCTCTCGCGCGATTCCCCCGACACGACGGTCGGAGATGCGGTGCATGTAGATGACACCGGATAGCAGCACGTCTTGTTCGTATCTGAGTACGTACTGCAATTGAGCCCAAAGACCCGCGTAGGCTGCCAATGACTCACGTTCTCTTCAGGAACTTGCCTATGTCCTCAAGGACGTCCGCCTGCGACCTTGTAGTATCATCGAAGCCCGGTGTGTCGATGAGCACGAGCTTCATGTCGCCCACTATATATGATGCGACATCGATATCCGCTGTGCACGATCGAAGGCCGGTTCCTACTTTCAGGCTCGACCCGCATACATGGTTGATGAACTACGGGTCAGGTCAGGTCTCTCATGTCGTCGACACCAGCCAAACGATGAATCTGCTTACTGTAGACTTTCCAGCACCCGTAGGACCAGTTACTCTGAGGCCAGAAGTTCGTAAGTGTGTCTAGTCTCTATGGTAGGAAGTGTACTTACGCGATCAATTTCAGATTCCGGTTGACGAGCGCCATTGTGTCCTTGAATATCTGTCGCAAAGGGTAGCTGCGCCGACTTTACAACGATGGAAAGATGGCACGATGGCACGTCTAGGTCCGCATCACATATTTGAGGTTGACATGATATTGCAGCGACTCTACGTCACACCTGTAACACGCATTGGGGGCGAGGCGGGAACGTGCACAGTGTCTCATTCCACGGGGAGAACGTAGGTTGCTACGTTTGATGATCCGCATTGCAGAGGTGCTTGAGGTACGCCTGTGAAGTTCAATCAGTTAGACGGCCCGTTGCAGAAAGGGCACGTCGGATCCCGCTCGAAGGCCTGGAGCTGTTGACAAACAAGCCTCGCGAGTTCCGACCCTGGGCGAGGTTGCTTCATACTTGTTTATAGTGGAACCATATCCTCGGTGGCATGAACCCTGGCATGAATCGGCATGCATGTCTCATACTGCGTCCACGCATGTGTGTGCGAAGTGCGTACGTGACCAACTAGCGCTTCAACCTTGAGTCCTTGACTAATCCGAGTCTCGCTAGTGACTGCGACGTCCGATGATGTCCAGGCACTTCCCGTTCCTTGGACTGTCCACGCTTCAGTCCTCGATTTGGCGTCAGTTCATCCGGGTTCGTCATGTTCCAGCTCTGCCGCTACGTATATATCATTACTGAGATACTACTATATGACGACCAGCGTCGAGCCTTTGGAATGTGGACATGATTCGCTGCTAGTCAAAGTAGAACGTCAAGGTACCAAACAGCCTCGGGAAGTTGCCTCACTCCGACTTCAACATACCGTATACCTTCCAGCAAAGCAGTACCCGATACCCGCCAGCTACGCGAAATCCTACTCGTAGGAAGCGACGGATGCTGCTCTCTCCCTGCAGTTTCTTCAATTCCCTTTGGATCCGCTGTAGCTCGTCATTGATCCTCTTTAGCTCCTGTCTGAGCTGCGGAGTCTCCGTGCGATGTGCCTCCGCCATCTCGTCTCTAAGCGCCTGCATCTCTCTCTGATGTCTCGTCTCCTGTTCCTTGAGTAACTCGGATAAGTCTGAGCCCGCTTCAGTCTCCGGCACCTGCTTCCTCTCGTCCACAAGCTCGTACTGCATCTGAAGTCTCCGCGCGGCATGCTCAATGAGCGCAAGGGCGATCGAACGGGCTGAGTCTGCGTTGTTGTGACACCGGACCATCCTCGCGCCCCGTTCCACGGCCGACTGGTAAAAGATAGGCTTCGTCACCAGCTCCTCCTCTCGAGCGCGCCCTACTGCCTCGGCCACTTCATTCCACATCGTAGTTACGATGAAGACGTTTCGTAGCGCGTCCGGCCCACAAATCTTGGTGAAGAGCCTGAAGTTTTCTCGAGCAATACCCCCGACGCGACGATCAGAAATTCGGTGCATGTAGATGACTCCGGAGACTTTCACCCCGTCTTCGTATCTGTGCGTCCAAGCTGTAACTCGATACAAGGCATTCACGCTGGGTAGCTACTCACGTCTTCTTCAGGAACTGGCCGATGTCTTCCAAAACGTCCGCCTGAGACTTTGTTGTATCGTCGAAACCGGGAGTGTCGATGAGCACGACCTTTGTATCGCCCATCATGCGATATGCCACGTCGATATCCTTGGTGCATGACCGTAGGCCTCTTCCTACTTCTAAGTTTGAGCCGCAGACATTGTTGATGAACTATAGTAACAGGACGCGGAGGTCAGCTTCCTCGTTGATCATGCAATAGAACTGCTCACCGTCGACTTCCCCGCCCCAGTAGGACCGGTGACGCTAGGTATCGAAGGTGCATCAGTAGCCTGGGGACGAGGACGTCTGGACCCATAAGACGGAAAGGACTCACGCGATCAGCTTCAGCTTCTCACAATTGTGGTACGCCATCTATCCCGCAGCGTCTCGGGGTCCTAGAAACTGGTATGGAAGTCCGCGCTGGGTCCGTCGTTTCATATGTCCGTCGTTTCATATAATGACCGCTCATTGATACCAGGTATACATTGCACTGTTGCCTCGCAGGAATATATTTGCGTCATGAAACACTATCGTATGGATCGTCGCTGTACATGATCCGCGATGCGGAATCATTGCACGAGGCGCTTGTGTCTCGTCCGGCGTGGTTTCTGGGAGCCCTCCGAGCAATCGTCGCGGCCTGATGAATATGAAAGTCAAGCTCCGTATCTCCTACGCGTTTCTGCGACAGACTCCATGCGAGCTATGGAAGTAAACGAGGCCATCGCCTGCACGTAATCGACAGGTGCTGACGGTGCGGTAGTTCATCCTGGCATACACCTTTCCGATTAGCCCAAGCTGAGACGCTGACGTCTTCTTCGCGCCTGTCTGCAGATGCACCATTCCATCACTGCATTGCTCAGTCCGCTCTCCGGAATCTACAATAAAACACGGTCGTGGGGACGGTTTGTACGGTTTGAAAGAAGGTGCCTTGATCACAATGTTTTTGGTAACACTACTCACGCCATTGCGTGTCATTTAGGGCGTACGTTTGGCAGTCTGCTAAGATCCACAGCCTCATGTTCTTACCCACACGCAGCGGCAGCTGCGGCCCACGCCATGAACCTCGCTCTAGCCGCATTGCTGATCTGAGTGCTGGCCAGAACTGCTCATCAAACTCGCGGTATCACCCATTTCAACGTAACAGAAGCAAGCCATTCAACCTTGCGCTGCAACGGAGGCAGCTCTGCTTCTCACGTACTGCGCGGCGTTGCCCGTAGTCTCGATCGCACTACAGACCCGCTTACGATGATCTATTACATGTCATGAACCCTTAGGGTACCTAGGGTACCGAAGTGTCAGTGAAAGGCCGTGGCCCATCTTCACGAACCCCGCGTACCCGGAACAATCCACACTGCGCGCGACCACTCACTGGACCGCAGCGTCCGACCTCTCTTGCGACGGCGAAGATTCATGGCGGCCCTTCTTCGCAGGCGCACTGGCCTGACGGCATATATCTTGTAAGTCCAAGACCTTGCTCGTGTACGAGTCATTCACGAATACGTCAGAGTCATGGGGTCGACGGGTACGGGAAAGTCCACAGTTGGTACAATTCTGTGCTACAGTCTGCCTTATCTGAGCGAATGTTAGTTCATCAACCTAGCGAGCGGTTCAGACTTGCGAGTCGGGACAGGGCTCCACTCCCAAACGGCTACCGTCGAGCTATCGAGATCGTTCAAACACAAGTCTCAGCGGATCATCATGGTGGACACGCCTGGGTTTGATGACACGGTCAAATCCGACGCAGACGTGCTTACGACGATTGCGACCTATCTGGAACGATTGTGAGTTAGCCTACCTACGTTACAGAGTCACAGGTCACCGCCGACCCGCACTACTAGGTACCGCAAAGGTATTCGAATACGCGGTATCATTTACCTGCATCGCATCACGGACAACCGCATGGGTGGGACTGCACTGAGGAACCTCCGAATGTTTGAAGCCATCTGCGGAGAGCCCGCAATGGCGAGCACAGTCGTCGTTCTGAATATGTGGGATCAGGTTCAGCCAGGCGTCGCTGAAGCGCGCGAGACAGAGTTGCGAAAGAGTGACATCTTCTTCAAGCCTACGGTGAACGCGGGCGCACAGATGAAGCCTCACTGGGGCAACCAGGACTCCGCCGCTGCTATACTGGACTACCTCGTGGCCCGGCGGCCCGTGGTTCTGAAGATCCAGCACGAGATGGCCGACGAACACAAAGCGATCCACACGACATCCGCTGGGTTGGTACTCTTGGGGGACTTGGCGGCGAAGGAACTCAAGCATGCCGAAGAATTGCGGCGCATTCGCGAAGAGAGGGCGGAGGCGCGGTCACGCAAGGATGCGGACGAAGAAGGGGGTTTGGAGGATAGTGAGAAGAGCGTTGAAGCTTTGCGGCGCAAGCTCGCGGAAGAGCAGCAAAGGTTGCTTGAGGCGACGAACCAAGCTTCCGATAACCACGGGGGTTTCCATAGGAAGTTGATCATGTTCCTACGACGTCGACTGCAGCTTGGCCATTGACATAGCTTCGCACAGTGGGTATAATTTAGATACTGGTCATGGCATTATGCTGCGTTGTATGTATGATTTGAGCAATGCACAGGATCGCTTGTAGCTCTAGATCTGCTCAACTACTATCATACTTTTGAGTGCGGCGCCACAACCTGCCAGCAGTCGTACGTGAACTATGGCCGCCATATACTTACTTATGTCCTGCAACAAGGCAACATGCTCGTCATACCTAGTCTTTGGACGCATCAATGTCGTCGAAGACCTAAATGTCATGTACGAAGGGAAAGCAGCACTACTCACGACTACACAGGCAGCCGATACATACCACTACTGCACCAGTGCACGCGCGAGCAGCTGCGTCACTAGTCACTGCGGACAAACCCCTTTGTTTGGCGTCGGATAAGTCTCAGATCATCGTTAGAATGAGTATATCATCTCGAAATCCGAGCATGAATTATTATCGGTGACCGAACATTGAAAGGCACGGCTCCTCATTGGCTGCCTTTCAATGTTCGGTCCAGGAAAATAGATAATACTCGGATTTCGAGATGATATAAACGTTCTGACAATGTTCTGACGATGTAAGCGCTCCGTGCAACCTGCTTTGTCCGCAGTGAGTAGCGATTCAAAAATTCAAAGCCTAGCTCTCTACCATAGGTTACTAGAGTAGCGACGCTAGTATTACAGCCCTAATGGCTGACAGCAATTACATTAAGACGCGCAGACTACGAAAGCGGGGCAAATCGACGCGGACTCTTATAAGGTAGCGGTGAAGCGAAATACGAATATGTGAGAATTGCGGAAGACGGAGGGGACGGAGAGACAACACAGAAGTGAGGAAGCTTGGGGGAGGAGAAAGCCAAACAGCACATCCAGATGAATATTCATGCCACATCATTATCGTCGTTGTCATCATCGGCACCAGCACCCAAAGCGAAAGGCTCAGTACAGTCAGTTGGAGTCGGCGGCGGTATCGAGGCCGAGGTTTAGTAGGAGACACGGAGCCCGCGCAGGACGAGCGTGGCCGCGATCATGAGTCGTTCTTCGGCCAGCTGCCCTCCGCCTTGAGCTTCGCGATGAGGTCGTGGATCTCGACCTCCGTGAGCTGGGGGTGCTTGGGCTTCCAGCCCGTCAGGCGCTTCAGCTTGTCCGCGTTGAATGCGATGACGTGCTTCTTCAGGTTGTAGATGTCCGTGTAGGCGGTGAAGTGCGTGTTCGGCACAGGCGGGTTGGACTCCGTGATCATTGTCGTCCATGCAGAGACGTGCGCCTCGTTGATGTCCTCTACCACGTCCTCCAGCTTGAACTGCACAGCGTTGTCAGACGACCAGCCCATTGACTGATGAGAGCGTGAGCCCCACCTTCGCCACCGTGTTCACCAAGAAATTGAAGAACTCGAACGACGTTCCGAACGCCTTCGCGACGCGCGTTGCAACCTCGACCATCGGCAGCTGTCCATCGTCCTCCACGTTGAAGAGCGGCGCGACAATCTTGCGATCCGGCGGAACCATCTCCTCGACCTCCGCTACCTTGCTCTTGTCGTTGTGGAACGGGATCTCCTCGCCCGCGAGCTCATCCGCCTTCGCGCGCCCGCCTACGCTGGCCATCCATTCTGCACACGCCCATAGGGCTGCCGCAGCGTCATCGGCGTGTATTGTGTGCATCGGGTGCTTGCCCGGGGACCACCTATACGGACGATGAGCTCAGAACGTGCGTAACAAGCGCGAGCATAGTGACGCACAGGCCCTTGACAGGCTGTTTCAGATAGCCGTACACCGCCGCCATAGAAATCGACGACATGACCGCTGAAGAGAAGAGTGTCCGTTGAGTATGTGCGCGAAGTGGATCGGCCAGCAACTCACGTCCGTAGTCAATATAGGGTCCATAGACCAATGCTTTCCTCAGTATGACGAGGTTCAGCCTGCGGAAATCGAACATGAGCCGACATCTCCACTCGTCAAATGCCCAACTTACCCCTCGATCGCTCCCAGCGTCCGCATCGTTTCGTGCCACCACGTCCCTACCACGCCGTCCGGTTTGGGGTCGTCCTTCTCGCTGTGCGTGCCCTTTTCCTTGCACTCGTAGAACGGATGCATGATGCGCACATACGCCGCCACGCCGCGCTTCGCAGCCTCGAGCCCGACGTGCCGTGCCATCCGGAGCGTGTTGTTGATTTGAATGGCTTCTGGGCGGTCCCATTGCACTTCACCTGTCAGGTCAAACACGTACGAGTACGGCTCCTGACCTTCTGGAGGATCGAAAGATGCAGTGACAGCGGCTAAAAGGCGACGAGTTAGGAAGGGTTGCAAAAGATGGCAACGTGCGCTTACAGGCCACGGTCAAGTTCGCCTGTCGATACGTCACATTGAATTTCGTCAACACCTCCTTGAACTCCGCGCCGAGGTATCTAGAGATCTGTTGAGTGCAAGAGGGCAACTGTAATGGGCTCAACGTACGTGGTGGGCGGTGATACCGAGTACTTGTCGACTATCAGGAGATTCTGTTAAAGCAATGTCAGTAAGTTGTGCATGGCCCGTCAACGCAGATGGGAAGCACGGCTCCCGACCACAGCTGAGACTTCCAGAGATGCATATGCAAACGACTACCACAAAAGATGGTCTGTAGAAGGCGAAAGGGGCTGTCCGGGTACAGTGTCACCAGGGAGGGACAGGCGCATGTCCATTCGGGTTCCCACATTCACAACGCGTATGTCGCATGGCTGCAGAGCCGCAAATCCTCATCTCGATCACTTCAGCCACGGACAGAAACGTGCCCAGTGCGAGCGGTCGTGGAAGACAGACAAAGCTCAAGTAGACGCACCTCCACAAGAGACTCCCCTTCGGACGGTACCAGGTAGGCAGCCAGTGCACGAGCGCAAGTGTTCACACCGCCTTTGTACAGCGATCGATACCACAGAGCCCCACAATCTCGTCAGTCAATGGTGTGCAACAACTCGAGGAGCCACGCACCAAAGATGATCGCGTTACGCTTAGCCATCGAGGACGCTGGGACTGACGATCGGGCGGTGTTGCGGGTGGTATAGAATGAACGAGAGCGGAAAGGCGTCGGGAGCAGTAGGTGCGGGACCAGAAGCGTTCAGCAGCGTCTGAGGATGGGTATGACGGCGTGGGGATGGACACAGATGACTGCAATGGACGCAGCGAGGACGGGGGGATTTGATTTGGGACTGATGATATCTCAGCAACAGCGAGCGATGAGGCGGCGTACTATGCCCCAAAAGGCAACTTTCGTCGGGGATCCTGGTAGAGTGTGCGCGTGAGCAAGCTGGCACGAGACGGTGAACGAGTGGGAGGGGGAACGAGAGCCGTGGGCGAGATGAGAGTCGTGTTTGAGCCCGTCGCCGCCGCCGTCTCCGACTTTCAGCCCGACAGCGCCTCCCATAGACGCCCATCCCCTGCCAGGCCTGTTCTAATTCATCCTCCTCTTCGACGGAACTGGCATGCGACTTGCGACTCTTACAGCTGTCGAGGTATCTAGTCTGCTCAGGGCATCTGACATCGACAACCAACGTAACTGACATCGAGAAGGTGTCCACAACGGCGAACGCCTACATACCTATGATCAAAGGCGCATAAATGGTGCGTGGTCTCCGTGTGGATCATGACCGACTCTGACGACTCTTCCTGACGCATGCATGGCCGTATATTGTAATTGCTCAAACTCGACTGTCATCGTGTTCGTCAACGCAGGGCCCACTGAAATGTGTTCGTGTCCTACGATCGGTGTCGGGTGCACGAAACGCGTCCACAGCATGTCGACGTAGCGCCCGACGTCAAAAAACACCTTTGCTATTGGAAAGATGGATCTGTTCTCTGCCTGCGTGAAGGAATGATGATGTTCCTCGTTGGCCGGCAAGGCATGCCAATGCGGCGTCCGTGAGGTAGAAGACATGAAGCAGCGAACATACAGCCTTCTTTCTGGATTACTCACGGGCGCACTTCGGAGACAGACGCCACCGAAGGCTTGCCATCGAGTTATGCACGCTGTTTGAGCCACTGGCACGGTGACGGATTATTGTAGCTATAATATTCCACGGACGAGCGATGACAGTTCTGCGATCCTCTGCGACTGGGTTGCGAGCCACTCTGACATGGCTGAACACGAACCAAAGCTTATAGCGTATGTTACGCCACGATCACAGCGTATGCATCGCTGACGGTACGCACCTCCTAGGCTCATGGGTTGTACGGGAAGCGGAAAGACCACAGTAAGACTCGCACGCCCAGATGAATATTATGATGTGCTGAAGTCCGAAAATAGTTCATCAACTGTGTTGCGAACGCCGGGCTGGAAGTAGGCTACGGGCTTCAGTCATGCACAAGCAACATACAGACTGCGTCGATACGGCTCGAACACACGAACATCACGTTGATTGACACCCCGGGCTTCGACGACACTGAGATGCCCCAGGCGGAGATATTGCGATTAATTGCTACTTTTCTGCGGGAAACGTAAGCCATCCCATCCAGTCCGTGCCTTGAATCAGGTTTTGTCTTGACCGGTAGCATTACAGATATTCCCGCGGCAAGAAACTCACTGGCGTCATCTTTCTGCACCCCATTTCCCATAATCGAATGTCCGGCATCAGCCTACAGACCTTCCACTTGTTTCGCAAGCTTTGCGGCGAGAACGCCATGGAGAATGTCACAATCGCCACTACCATGTGGGAGACCGTTGATCTGCCAACGGGCGAGGACAGGTTAGGACAGCTTCAGGGGGAATACTTCAAACCAGCCTGCGATCGTGGTGCCCGCATCGCGCGGCACAACAACACGCCCGAATCTGCGGTCAGCATTTTGTCGGCTCTGTTGCGACTACCTAGCAGTGCGCTGCGTATCCAGGAGGAGTTGCACGAGGGCAAGACGATCCCGCACACGGACGCAGGCTACGAACTCGACCGACAATTGCAGGAGCGGTGTACGCAGCAGAGGTGTGGAGTAAACAAATTGGAAAAAGAGCTCGCAGAGTCAGCCCAGTCGCAGGAGACCAGCGCCCGGGTGGATGGGTCATCACGGGGAGGCCCAGAGGAGGGAGACGAGGCTACCGGGAGGCATCGCCAGGAGGACGTAGAACGTTTGCGGGACGACCTCCGGACGCTCCGTCAGAAGCTACAGAAGACTGAAGCCGAGAGAGACAAGCTTCAACGGGACCTGAGTCAGCGTCTCAGCTCTCATCTTCAGAATATCTTGAAACACATGAACATCAATGTGCAGTCATCGGAGAGTTTACTTCGAGAAGTCGTGAGTCTGGTCGTGTTGTGTATTGTGTGTTGTTGCTCAACAACCTCACTAGCCTCACTGGCAGCCGGATGGTCCACCGACTAGCTCGCCCGATTTCCTTCCACCCAGTTCACCTCCTTCAGTCCGCTCACCGACTCCCCCGCGATCACCTACCCCTTCGATCTTACCTACCCCTCCGCACTCACCTACCCCTCCGGTCTCATCTACCCCTCCGCACTCACCTACCCCTCCGCACTCACCTACCCCTCCGCACTCACCTACCCCTCCGCGCTCACCTACTCCTCCGCGCTCACCTACTCCTCCGCGCTCATCTACTCCGCCACGCTCACCCGCATCCACACGCGCACCGACACCTGTCAGTTCACCTACGCCTACAGGCTCGCCTACATCATCGCGCCCGCCAACACCCCCGCGCCGTTCGCCTCGTCCCGCTCCAGTACCGGCCCCCCATCCACCTCCGCCTCCGCCTAGTCGTCCACACTCGCCTTCCCCCTCTCCCCCGCGTACATTTATCGACCACAGCGCTCCACAACTGGTGCCAACCAAGCCAGAACCACAATGTGAACCTGACCTACAACTGCATCCTAAATCTGTCCCACAACCGCTTCCCAAATCTGTCCCACAACCGCTTCCTAAATCTGTCCCACAACGGCCTTGCAAATCTGTCCGGTCTCCAAGCGGCTGCTGTTCATGTTGCATCATATGTTGACATTGTACGATTTCTGTTTCCTGCCCTTCGTGTACTGGTCGGCGCCTTGTACTTCCCTGGCCGTGGACCTCGTTCGTATACATATCACTGGACGTGTTGACACCTTTCCGAAAGATTCATTGGCGCATCTCAGCAGGTCGGATTCGTGTCGGCAGGGCAGGAGTTTGGGTGTGACAATGGATCCCGTGGATTGCACGCATCACGTATATAACGCAGCATAGTGTCAGTAGTTACATTAAGCATGCGGACCTCAAGTGGAATCACGGTGCGTAGCCGTATCAATGGCCCAGCTGCAACTGACGTCGTAGGGACGTGGACAACTTCTGATAGAAATGCCCCTGGTTATCGAAAGTTTGGTTCGTCGCCTCGAGCAACCTCTGCTGCTCTTCTGCGAGCTTGTGCCGCTTGAAAGCTTCAACCGTCTGCTCAATATCCCCCAAATCTCTCGTCCACCCTGCGTAAATCATCAATGGTCGTGCGGAACGTATCAACAAATTTCGTCGTAGGACGCGTAGGAGTCGTGAAACATTCGAGGTACTCAAGAGGACCAGCCTCCATGCGGGGCAGATCGTGTTAGGAGGTCATGCGGTCGTGTCATGTCTGTCTTGAATGTTAGTATGTTATATCTGTTGATATGTCATTCCGCCACTCACCGTAACAGGGTCGTTCTGAAGAATTTCTTGATAGGTTTGGTTAGGCCACGCATATGGGGCCGGCGGCCTTGGTGAGCCGGGGTGAGGCTGGATGGGCTCTTGTCAGCCAGTCTCCGAGAGTCCTTTTCATCCATCGGACATCTCGTAGGATCATCCTTCTCATCCACGTCCATGTCCGAGGACGTCGCGCTCAGAAATACTCTGAACGCGGGCGCTTCCTGCCCGCAACGGTCCACCGGCGTAACTAAGGTTCGTGTTGAAGATTTCGTGTCATATTTTGGCTGCTGAGATTTGTCTGGATCGGCAGTGCGCGGTGGCTGTGGTATGCGCGTAACGAGGTGTCGTATTATGTCGCGCGCGGAACTGGCGATCCTGTCATGGTGGAAGATGACAGCGCCGGCGTCTACAATAGGTTTGAAATATGCCTTGCGGGTGCACAGGACGTCCTTCCGCGTTTCTCGCACGTTGTGACAGACGTCCTCCCACATGTTGAGCACGATGGCGATGTTGGTCAGCGCCTCCTGGGCGCACAGCTCCTGGAAGGCAACGAGACTCTCCAGCGCTATGTGTCCCATGCGATTGTCAGAGATCCTGTGGAGATAAATTGTGCCATGGACGGTGGTGCCTCTCTTCCGCCTGTCGGTAACACGAATTGTCAGAAGCCGTCTTCTGAAGCTCTGCGGACTCACTGACATCTTGGTCAGGTACGCATTTACTAGCCGGACAACCTCCTCAGTGGACTTCGTAGTCATGTCCAATCCCGGTGTGTCAATCAGGATGACACGTTTTGAGTCGATCTTGACTGGTCTTGACAGCTGGATGGTGCGTGTTTGGGATGAGAGGGACGAGCTGACAGCCAAATGCGAGCCGGTCGCAGTATTGACAAACTGGAATGGTTGAGCGACATTCGTGGCTGTACTAGAAACGACTTACTGAGGACTTCCCGGTCCCTGTGCGTCCCATGACACTGGCAGGCACTTCGATGTCACTAGGAGGAATGGCTGGAACACCGATGATACAACTCACAGGACATACACGTAGTCGCCCTTGCGGAATCTTGACTTCACGGCGGCGAGAATGCCGGCCAGACGTGGAAGAATTCGGACCATGATCCGGTACACAGGAGATGCAGTACTGCAATGGTGATACGCGTTGGTGAGGTGGTATGCTGTCGGTTGTCGATAGCCCCACACCAGGGTCCTACGCCCTAGGCTTTTGAGTTCTCGTCGAGTCTTTAAGTCTAAGTCAAACACTAAAGCATGTCGGGCTTCGAGTGTCCGTCTGAAGCCGTCTCGTGTACATTCAATGAGGGTGCATGCCCTTCAGCAGCGTGCCTATAACTCAGCCATGATTTGCCAATCCAAGTTTAGTATGTCGAAGCGGAACCATCCTTGCAGCGACATAGCGTCTTCAAAGGCGCCGACCTGAAATCTCGCACAGCATATGACGCTGCACTGCCAGAGAAAGGACTGAATGCCGATGCATTCGTAGCTTCCCTGTTACATGTAACTTAGAATGTCTGCCAGCATACCAGCGCGCCGACAACATATGCCCTACGAGGCTCGCAGTTACTGGATGCGGCATCCGTAGTATGCGAGGATCTTCGACATGAGGCCGCGCCACGCTTCCTACATCCACACAATTACCGCCCAACACGTTTTATGAAGGCCAGAACAAGGGGGCGAACGGACATATCGCTCTCGCCCGCAGGCGTTACCTCCTCGTACTCCAAGTCGGCATGACGAGCCCAACAGTCGAAGAACTAAGTCACACAGACGCCATGGACACCGAACGCGATGAACCCACTCCCGTGGTCGATGAGCGAAGGGCGCTAGGCAATGGAGGCAAGCCTTCGGCGCGACAATCGAGTCACCTCGTGGACGAAGCTAGCCAAGGTCCAGACGCTGATGGAAGTTATCCTGGAGGCAACGGGATTGTGTCTTCGGTTTACCCTTCGGAGTCTCTGTTACATATAGGAGAGCTTAGAGAAGGGAAGGAACACATACTGTGGGTCGCGACTAGCGTATACAGTGAGTTCCGTGTCCTGATAACGACCTATAGGGTGATCGGCAAGACAGGAAGCGGCAAGACGACGGTGAGCCGGCGACGATGTATTGAGTGACAGAATCCGCGTTGACATGCAGAGTCCACATTGTAGTTCATTAATCTCGCGGCGAATGCGAATCTCCCGGTCGGAGAAGAACACGTGCAGGAACAATGTACCACGGCGATACAGTCAGCTGAGTTCAATGATGCCACGCCGGTGATGTTATACGATGTCCCCGATGTGGTTGAGATCCCGGGTGTAAGGACACAAGTCGCCCCGCTTGACACAGACAAGCAACCGTACGTACTTACCTTCCAAGCACGGCGAGTAGGCCGATACTGATCAGCTCGAATAGTGCATGGGCTGCCGTCGTATACGTCATAGACAGCACGGACAGGCGCGCCGAACTGTTCAAGGAAGAGAACTATCAGATCCTTGACGAGCTCGATAAGCGGTGCAAATTGCGCAGACTATTGTTTCTGGTGTCCAGATGGCCGTCGCAAGAGGACCAAGGGCGCTTGACAGAGGCATTGGGGAGGCGGAGCGAATATGAGCGATTTATCGAGAAGTACCTCGAAAGGGGAGCAATTGTGCGCGAATTCAATCGGGAAATGGGCAGTGAAGGAGCGCGGGCTGCCGTACAGGACCTTCTGAAGACAAGATTGGCAGAAACAGGTACGGACTGCCCGAATTCCTTGTGTGTTCGACCGTAGCACTGAATCTCGAGCGATGCGCAGGGATTTGCCGTCGCTGCAATTGCGTTCGCAGACTGCGACAGAGGTTGCCACAGTACTGTATCATATGTTGAAGGCGGACTGGCGTATAGAACAATGCCACTTACCCTCCGAAAGGCATACACCCGGTGTTCGGGCGGGCCTCTGGACAGCATCAGATAGTGGAATGTCAACTGTAGTAGCACACCGTAGAATGCGGACCAAAGGTTCTAGTGCTTGAAGAGGCTCACAGGTCTTGGCTCAGATGAACAACGATGCGACGAGATCAGCGTACGCCCATTGCTCCATTTATGATGATGATGGTCGGAGGAAGGCCGCGCCGGCACCGCGGGCAAACCAGGTTGTTCGAACTCCGAAAACCCCTACGAACATCGGTCCCGCCTGGGAACCTTTACGGACTCCGAATATTGTCAGAACATGCTGCGAACATGATGCGTTTCAGCCGATTTCAGCATCTTCGGAGGCCGAACATGCGTGTTTTCTAACGGAACTTCAGGGATCGAGCACGGGTCGTTAGGCTGTACACAGCAAGACGACGGCCTCAGTTCTCGTGCTCGTAGCAAGCAAGACTAATATATTCAATGCATACCTGTACACAGCAAGACGACGGCTACGAAGTAGGTAAGTTACTGTGTGTAGCGGTCCGGTTCCGGAGGACCGCCACTTACTTCCCGATTTGGTACCACCTTCCTAATTCGCTCTACCTTAATCCATCTCCCTCACTCGTTCGTTCTTTGCGATTCCAGAACATTGACTTACCTTACGAAGCTTCCTCGTGATCTCCGTATGGACGAAAATTTACTCTCTTGAGTAGTATAAAAGACGGGCATTTTACGCTACGATCCTTAGCGTATCTTCGGAGACCAATTCAGTCTTATAACCTGTCCGGCCCGTTGCGCGCTCCTCCCTCTCGTATCGCCACCGACTTCCTCTTAAGGATCGCGAGCGCTACACTTTTTTGACAGAACTTCGACTCGACCTCCGACCACTAGCTTCTATCTCTCTCTCTCTTCGTCGCCTCCGCCAGGAAGACTCGAGTCTGATCAACTTGACCACCGGCCTAGGTAACGTGTTACTCTCTGTCTCTGTTACTGACCATTCTATCATAGATAACGTAATCCTTATTACGTTCACAAAAAGACGATGGCCAAACAGCCTCGTTACAATCTGCGCCATCGACGTATACTATGGTTGGTCGGGAGTTACTCACTATCGCGTTCGGTCGCGTGCCGTTCCCTCGCCCCTCACTCCTTTGACCTCCGCCGTGCAGGGTAGATACTAGGGTGTCTCTAGATACACCCTACGATTTTTCCAGATTTTTAAGTTGGTGCTTGCATCGGGCGGAAAGAATCCGCGGCAGGGTGTCTGCGACGAGGACAAAAGAAGGGGAGTTGCTCAAGACGGTCACGCTCGGTCACGCCGGCATCCGCGTCGGCAAAGGGCAGACACAGTGGGATGTGCCCATTGAGCGCCCATCCGTTGTCACGCCGCGGCACCCAGTCCAAGCTGTATCCCGTCCGCAACAGCAACATGTCTCCTTTCCGTAGATCGGGTGCTTCGTGAGGGTAGCATATCAAGTATATAATGATCCTAAGTACATCACTTTTGCAGGAAAAATCGAATACGGGAGGGATCTGCAGATTACTGCCTGTGCAGGAGGTGTCCTGACCCCAAAATCGTCGCCTTTACTCTCGTAGAACAGCCATAGTATCTTCACCTAAACCCAAACCACTTGTCATAGGTGATGATATAGCATGGATATCACCCCGTGAATTTTCTCTAGTCCACAGAATGAAGGGTGCGAGCTGTGGACGGCATTTTGAGTAACTCCCCTTCTTGAGTAACACTACACCACACATAGTAGGTCGCAACGTACCGGGTGAGTTCCCCACTCATCATTCTCAAAACTCTGATGCCCCGCTCGACAGCTCCGACGCCCCTCGCGACGTCGAAGGCGTCTCTGACGCAGCGGGCGACCCACCTGCTTCCGGGCCTCAGCCGCGTGCGCTGTACAGCCACGCCGCGAGCTCGTGTAACCCTTCCTTGGTGACCACCGGGAAGGCGGACCCTGCGCGAACCACGCAGCCGGTCGAAGTATTCTCGGCGGATGCGACCTTCTCTCTCGAACCTACGAGAGGGGAAGAATCCGTCGAGCCCACGCGTACTCCTGTCGTTAAGATGGAGCCGCGTGGCGAAGGTCAATGGCACTACGTCGGACGCGATGGTAGACACAGCCCCACACCCTCCCATAGGAGCATTCGCTCGGCGGGAGGAAGATTGGAGGGAGGCATCCCTCTGATAGAAGAGCTCACAGCAGCTACTAATCACGCTGAACGAGACATGAGCAATGCTCAGCTCGCCGAGCACCACAGCCAGCTCATAATGGCTTCGCAGCGCGCCCGCTTGGAGTATGAGGAGCGGCTTCGCCAGCTGGAAGCTGAAGGCTGGCACGATGAGCAGCAGTCTTGCGTGTCGTACACCGACACGGCAAGTATGACTACCCAACCGGGTTCCGCTCCGATCAAGGCCGACGAACCGGTCTTAGGGGAACAAGACACCGATTACCCGGAAGAAGAATTTGGGGTAATCGAAGAAGTTCCGGAGGAACTCGACGAGGGCTCCCGCTGGGAGTACCTACCCGCCCCGACGGCTCCACCGCCGGTGTTCAGCCCGATGGCCCCGGTCGCTGAGTCCACCGTATGGCGGAACGATCGCTTGGATGAGCTAGCAGAGCAGGTCGCGGCCCTCACCAAGCTATTGGCGGGAAACCACGCTGTACATACGAGAGTAGATAGTAATGCAATACATCTACCTGAACCCGCGTCAACGCCGCAGTCACACATGCCGTTTACTCCGAGCACAGCGGCGACTACAGCGGGTGCTTCGGCCTCTGCTAAGCGTAGCAAGGACAAGAAGAAGAAGAAGAAAGAAAGCAGTAAGGGGAGGCTACAGCCATATGCTCAGTTAGAACCCAGCAGTTATCTGGGTCTAGTACTCTCGGGAAAGCGAGGAACACCACCCTCCGACGACGGGAGTTCATCAAGCTCCTCGTCCAGTTCCAGCTCCGATGCTGGATCTGGGGTGAGCCTTGAGTCCTCCTCTGACGAGGATGAGGTGCCAGCTAAAAAGAAGAGTAAGAAAAAGGCCAAGAAGCCTATGTTGAAACCTATCAATCCAGAAGGATATGATGGACGAGCCGACGCTGAGGCGTTCCACAAGTTTGTACGTCAGGTACGAGAGTACGTGGAGGGGTACAGTCTTCATGAGAAGATGTATGCCTCTACAGCGTCGAACTTCATGAAGGGCAAAGCCTATCGATTCTTCGTGACTACCGTGTCTAATGACCCACGTTCGTGGAGTCTAGATCGATTATTTATTGAATTATTCAATTATTGCTTCCCTGTTGATTATAGGCTCAGCATGCAGGCGAAGCTGCATGCCCTCGAACAGGGAGGGCGTACTGTGCGTGACTATGTACATGAGTTTGAGGAGACCGTACAGATGGTAGGTCTCTTGTCTCCTCAAGAGAAGGTTAACAAGCTGTGGCTTGGGTTCAAACCTCCTATACAAGGAGATTTATGGCTGCGAGCTCTCAGCCCTCTAACGTCGACATGGCGCGAGGTGGTAGACGCAGCTACTCTCATCGAGATAGCACACAGCGCGAGGTCTGGTACATTCGGACGAGCGAAGCGTGTCTCATCTGGGGGTCAGGACAAACCCTCCTCGTCTGGAGGAATTGATTCTACATCTAGCGGCTCACATGGGCAACAGGGACGCCGAGACCGACCTCGCAAGGGAGGATTTTCGCGAGGACACAGTACTAAGGGTCCATCGCCGAATAACTCTTTTACGGCTGGGGGCAACAACAGCACGCAAGGAACTGGACATCGACCGATGCACTCTGGCAATACCCAGAAAGGAGGCCAGAGTTTCCAGAAGCCTCGCTTGTCGGATAAGGACCGAGAGCGATACATCGCCGAGGGGAGGTGCTTTGAGTGCCATGAAATTGGACACATCACACGCAACTGCCCAAAGCGTGGTCACGTCGCATCGCCGAGGAAAGGGAAGCCTCCTGGCGTACCCGTAAACAACGTACAGCCCACTACCGGGACGGCTGCTGAGCTGCGCGATCTCGCCGCTTCCTCCGGCCTTACCGGTACCCTCAACCTGCACTACATCGACTTTGGCCTTGACGACGCGCTTTCCGACGCAACTACGGACTCCATGCCGAGCTTGAAGACGGTCTCGAGCTCCTCTATATCAGAGCCGGACTGCCTGACCGAGGTTTCGTCTTCGGACTCAATGCCTGAGTTACAGTCAGTCTCAGACCTCTCCGACTCAGAAGAGTCAGCTTCTGTTTCTTCGGCTACCACCACCTTCTACTCCTGTGATGACGGAGCCGAAGTGTTCTGTCCAGAGAAGGCTGAGATCAATCTAGGCATCGAAGATGATGAAATATCATTCAGCTCGGAATACGAGGGTAGATACTTACCTCATATCAAGCCCAAAGGCGAATGGGGATACCACTTCGGGGACGCCCACGCAGCGAATGCGGCGCGCGTCTTAAACGGCGTACTCAACGTAGTATACCCGTACCGAGACGAGGACAAGTTGGATATCTACCTCACGCGGATATCCGATGATCAGTATGTCATCGAGTGGTATGATGCAGCTCATTACGTACCAGTCGCGTCTATTCTTGATCCAGAATTCGACATCGCGCGATGGTACTTCCCGCTGCTGAATGAATATATGGGTGGTGAACTCCTGTATGAGGATGTACCTAGCTGCCCGCTGGGACCCGCGTTGGCCTCGGAAGTCCGGGAGGCCCTGTCTCGTCTGATCGTCACCCCGGGGCCTGATGATCTCGACTGGCCAGGTGGGACTCGGTTCGCGACGGTACAACGTAACGGCTATGTCGAACTACACGACCTCTATCTCGCGTTTGAGCTGTACATCCCAAACGAGCTCCTTGAGAATGCATACCTTGATCTGCGGAACTGGTATGCCCAAGTACTGCGCCGGGAACTTCGCCCGGCCGCGTTTGACCTTGACGACCTAGAGGGCGAGTTACCAATGCTCTTTGAGACGCCGAGCAACGTACCGTTATGCGTGGTCGACACCCTATTTCGGAGTTACACCGAATTGCAGTGCTTTGCCGTGAAAGTCAGCAAGAATGACTCAGCTGAATACTTGCAGAGGAATGCGTCCGAGGCCAAGGACATGGACCGTATCATGCCTGAACCTGCTGTCGTGGTTGTCATGATTGATGGTCACCCCGTGCGCGCACTGTTAGATTCGGGCTCTCTGTCTG